GCAAGTAGTTAGGAAATGATCTAAAAAGGACGGGGGTGGAATGAGATTTTAAAGCCTATGTACCAAAAGAATACATATTGAATAGTTCCAGGATACAAAATTTTAGAACAGAAAAATAGTAATCTATGGTGACAGAAGAGATTGATGGTTGTTTTCCTGGAATTGGGGATGGTGGGATACAGGGTACACAGTTCTGAGTTCAAAGGAACATCTGGGGAGAGGGCAACTTTTCACATCCTAATTGAGATGGTAGTTCCACAAAAGAACACATACACCAAAGCTCATCAAACTGCACATTTAAATGCACATGTTTTATGGTATGCAAACCGTGGATAAGGAGAAATCATTAAAAAAAATAAAAATCACTAGTTTTATAAGATGTTACCACAGGCCAAATTGGGTTAAGTGTATGTGAAATCTCCACTATTTCTAATAACTGCAAATAAATCTACAATTATCTCAATAGGAAAAGTTCAAAAGATACATGTGCAGCAGCAACGATTTGTTATCAAAATAAAATTAATCATTTAAAATTATTTGTCTCTTATTTGTGAGGTATCTAATGAATCATACAAGTTCAATACCGTATAATTATGAATTCTATTTTGAAATATTTAACTTTGTTTACAAGTTAATGAACACTATCTAGTCTTCTGGATTTGTTTTGCCTAGATCAATCCAAAAATAGGCTCAGTAAATTAATCATTCACTGTTTTAGTGATTCTTGTGAAGACATGTAACAAGTACTCTAACGCATTCTCTATTGATAAAGTATGACATTATTTTTTACAGTACATAACATAAATTAACCTCAAAACCTTAAATTGCCAACAAAATCCCAAAATTTATCAGGGTTTCTAGGTAAATAATACTAAGGACAGCCACTGAGCATTCCCAAAATATATATTCAGGTATAACAAAATGTAATAACTAAGAAAATAATGTGTAGCTTTAAGTTTATTTCAGAATCTTCGGGGTCTTTGTTATTACATTTTCTTAAGGTTTTTTGCCTTCCTTAGTTCTTATTTTTGTGAAGGGATAAAACATATTAGTTAGCAATGGGTAGAACCATAGGAATAGATAGTTGATCTTGCTATATTAAGAATAATTAATCATGTAGTCTTTTAGTTTCTCAATCTATCAGTAAGTTTTACTTTATCAATCTCCCAAGCTAAAAAGTGACAGAAGGCCAGATGGCTTACTTATGTGAGATCTCCCAGATATAAAGTTTATGGAGTGGTGAATAAGGTAGTGAACAGAAGCACGATACTGCTGAGAGTAGGTAACTGCCACCATGAGTTAATCAGTCATTGATATGGAAAGATAGACAAAGTATTGGTCTATCTTCTGAAGAAGAAAAGCCAAACAAAAAAAAAATCTGATAGTGAAAATTCTCACTGAAAAATAAGTCAAAAGGAGTATAACCATTGTTCCCACACTGGAACCACATATTTGTGACATCAACTTTTTAAAAAATTGAAGAATGTTTCATAAAGAAAATAGCCTAGAATGGCAACTTGGAATTGAATTCACCATTCTATTCCTTTCTCTCTGGTTCATTCATTTTTCCTTCCTCTAAAAACATAGAAAAGACAATTGCCAAGAACTGGCATATTCTCAAGGCTTACATTTTCTTTTGTTTGCCAAATGACTGTAATGTAATTCAAAGAAGCTATGTTTATTGAGTAATATTATTAATGGTTAGACTAATACTGTGAATTGAAGACATTCTTTTTGGATTATATCCAGGTCTTTAAAAATAACATGGTTTCCAATAGGAAATGAATGGCTTTTATTGAAATGTATTATTTTAAAAAGTAGAACAACATAAAAAGCACTTAAGTATATTTTCAGATGATTGTGAGACAAATTTTCTCAGACACAGAAGTCCCCACACATATTAAAATATGCTGAACCTAATGAAATGAGAACATCATGCTTACAAATGCTTTTATAAAGTCATTTCTCTTTTTTAACACATTGTTGAAAATATCATAGAACTTAGAAATCACTCACCTTAATAGTCTATTGACTTTTCTTCTTCAGCTGCATTTGCCAAAATTTGTTAAATAAATTGTGTTTGTTGCTTCTTTATTTGTGCTTAAATTTATGAATGATCAAAACATGTTGAGGAGGGAAATAATAAAATTCTACATTTTTGTTTTTGATTTTTTTTCAAAATATGTTTACTATCTAAATAAGAAGCATTAACACATATTCTCCCAGTCTAAATTATAGTTCTTTAGTACATGAATTCATAATCCAGCAGTCACCACCTAAGACCAAGTCTGAAAACCCCAACCTGACTTCTGTAACCAATCATGAACCTTGATTCATTGAATGCCTCTATTTTAAAGGAAAGGCACGAAATCACCCAAGAATCATAAAATACTAAGCACTTCAATGTAAGCAATTAGAGGGGAAAAATGAGATATGATATCAAAGGAGTAGAGAGGAAGAAAGAGGGGTGAGAGGCAGGTTGAGACAGACTAGTCAACATAAAACAGGAAAAGCTAAAAATAAACTATGTTAAGAAAGTGTTGGCTAGGGTTAACATGAAAGAGAAACCCAGTACAATGCCTTAGCTTACACATACTAGGTATCTTCAGTCTAAGATACTAAATTCATCCCAGAGCATCTTGTACTTTGACTGTTAGTGGGTTTGGGAATGAAGGAAAAAAAAATTAATAAAAGAAACCATTGATAAGAAGCAAAGGAAAAAGTGTCCATCTTAAGGCATCACAAGAAGACAATAGGAAATAGAGAATAAATGTCACTTAAAATCTATAACAAATCAAATAGGCAAAAATTTAAACACACAGTTATGGTTCAATAAAAAAATCAATCAAATTCATTTTCTTTTTGCAATATATAATATACCTGTATTATAATAAGTATAATAAGCCATACAAGCAAATTAAAAAATCAGTCTTTTTACAAATGCTTTCTCTCATGATATGCTCATAAAACCAATTTCAAAGACAGTAGACATTAGAAACCCAAAACAATGAAAGAAGTTTCTTCTTTAAAAACAATTACTGACTAGCAGTGGAGACTAAATGTATAAATAAAAACAATAGCAGTATACAGCTGTGATCTGGAAAATAAATTCAAAGGAATATCAAAGTGAGAACATGAAAGTTTTGGTTTGGGCAAATAGAAAAGAGGCCATAACCAAACCAAAGGCTCTGAGATGAAGCCAAGCAACAGGACAGCATTGTGGATGTGCTGGAGAAGTCTGCACTTGAGAAAGTGTTCCACCATTGAACTATGTTGAACTCATGCGATTATCAAAAGCAAATTAGATCAGAGGAGCAATCTCAGAGAACAAAAATATAGTTTGCCAAAACACTGACAGATAATTTTTTTAAATGAAATATTTACTGATATTCCAAAATGAACTGCATAAAGAACTGATTAGCTAAAACACAAGCAGAGGGCAAGATCTAAAAGGAAGATAATTTTGCAAATTGCATACAAGTCTATGAGACAATAATACCATGTGAAAAGCTAAGACAAACTAATATGTGAGTCTGTATTTATGTAACAAAAAGGATACAAACATATTTTATACACTTGTCAGAAGAGAACTGACAAGGACAGGAATTGTATAATGTAGTTTACTGTACTTTCAACATTAGTTATAATAGATATGGTAAAATTATTCTCCAAAAATATTATATCAATTTGCATTCCCATCAATGATGTATACAAGGTTACATTCTTGCAAGTCCTAGATGTTATCAATCTTTAAATGTTTTGCTAATTTGAGAAATTAAAAACAATATTTTATTATAATTTGCACTTTCCTGATTAAAACTGAGGTTGAGTGATCTTTTATGTGTTTGTTGAATATTATCAATTCTTCGCTTCTAAATTGCTTATTCATATATTTGCTCTTTTATTGAGCTGTTCTATTTTTCTTAATATTTTTAAGTGCTCTTTGTGTATTAGGACCTTAAATCTAACTTTTAATATGATGTAATTATTTTTGATTAATCTGTCACTTGTCACTATAGTTATGTTAATCATTGCACTCTTCAGAATTTTAGATATTGATAGGTTAACTCATTAATTTTCTTTGTGGCTCCAGTTATCTTTGTTTCCCTTTGTATTTTATTTGTTTAGATTATAAAGGACCTTCACTTTAAATTTTAAAATATTCTTCTTTACAGTAATAAATATATTGATTGTTTCATTTTAATGTTTAATCCATGTTAATTTTTTTTGTGAAGGCCATGCAGTAGGTCTCTGCCTTCATTGCCAGACAATTGCCTGAAATACCATTTCCTCCATACTGTCCACTTTAGTATACTATTAGTATGATTGTTACTGCTACTGTATCCTCTTATGTTGACTATTGTGATATCAATGTTGGACATTTCTACCAACCAATCTCTCTCAAATTTTAATTTTGTTCATTTACTGTTATTCCTAAATACACAAATAAATTTCCACCTCAACTATGAAATGTCCCTTGACCATCATAGACAAACCAAGGTAACATCACTTCTAAGTCAGTTTACTACACATATTCATGTTAATTACATAAAATTCCTCATATCAGCAATAAGTTAATCTTGATTGTCTTGACAACATAAAGATTGCACTGCATCTAAAGACTTTTCATAGATACACTTATGATAATGTCTTTTAGATATATAAACCATTTTTTGTTGTTTAGCATTAGGCTGTTCAGACAAATATTTGAAAATAATATAGTAATTATGATTAAATCAAGAAAGATAAGGAATAGAAACTCTTAGGGTTTTGTTTCATTGGCAATTCCTCTTCATTTTTAAAATTTTTGATCTTATAGATAACATTATTTTCTCTATAAAAACTTTCCCTGTAAAATTAATATTTGGGGTTCATATCAATTTATTTTTATATACACTTAGAAGTTAAACCAAAATTAAATGTTTATTCACAATTCCTGAGAGGTTTTTTTTTTTTTTTTCTATTTTTTGTTAGATTTCCATGCACAAAATAGAACTCACGTGAAGTCCTTCAGTGAAGCTTTCCGAAGAGCAGAGGCATATGTAGGGCTGGCTGGTTGTGTTACAATTACTAGCATGACCATGGCACTGACATCTGTGAACATGAATGTCATCACACAACAAGTCAACATATATATGCTGAAGGCCCTATGAATACATACTCTATGTGACTATAACCAGAAAGTCAAGCACACTTGATCAATGCAAAATCATTTTCTCTCCAACCTGTGTGATTATTCATGAAAGTATTGAATTAATCCTGAGGTACTAGAAGTACTATCATTAATATGCAGACTGCACTGGATTTTAAGGGTAATTTTCAAGCCTCTCTGGAAATGGGAGCAAGATTGTGTACACCTGCTATACATATAGTAAACTCATTAAGGAAAGGCATTTACTGAAACTACTCAAAGTGCGGTTTACGAATTAAGGCTCAGAACAAATTTTAGAATGAAGTTAATAAATTTCAATATTTTGTAATTTTTTTCAAAATCAGATGGTGGATAATTAAATAACATTAGCTTTTCTTTATGCTATTGCTTATTTTTTTTAAAAAAAGCTTTCATATATTCTGGTTTGTCTTTAAAGATATCCCTTATTCTCAAGTCACGTGATTCTTCTAGAACAACCCAATTGTGAATATAATCTATGCATATTTCCATATTAGACAGTGTTCTGCCTAGTTTTACAGCTATCAATTTTTTAAAAAATACTGTAAGTCATGCTCTAAGTTATGATCTGAAATTTAAGAACACTAAGGGCATAGCAGATCTTTCTTCGATAGTAAAACAACTATCTCTATGGAACCATGAATTCTGGACCCAAGCCTTACTTACAAACTGTCTGGTACTATATAGCTACAAACTCCTTCTCTTTGCTTTCAGAAATATTTAAAAATTGCACTATTTCTCTTTGCTTTCAACAATGTTTGAAAATAATATTCTTGATCAAACTAAGTAAAACATGTAATAAGTTAGATCTAAAGCAAATTCCAAGTATTGTAACTCCCCCCACCCAGCTAAAGATTGCTCTTAGAGTAGAAAATTATTTCAAAACATGAAACTGGAATTATCTTGCTCTAAAATCTTACTTATTGTATTTTTAAATAAGTATGCCTGATATAAACCTCATTGGAAAAAAAAAAAGAAACCACTCATTAAAAACAAAATTTATAGTGAAAACCATTCTCCAGTAGCAACCCTTGTATACACTACCTCCCACCGATGGTGATTTCATCCACCGCATAATATCTGTGACTAAGGCTGACAGCAGCCTCAGTTGTATGGTACTGCCCTTGGAAATGAAGTCTTATCTGTGTGGCTTTGACAAATTCTTGAAGAGATGGGTTATTATAGAAGTCATTGAATCCAGGACGAAGTTTCGGCCCAGGTGTCAGAACGCTGAATGTGACATTACCATGGGAGTATGGAGTAAAACTGTTGATAAAAGAATATTATCTCAGGGAAATCTATTCATAATCTCAACAAAACAAATCACAACTTTGAGACATTACTACACAATATCAGTAAATTCTTTTTTGGGGGGTGGGGGATACTGGAGATTGAGCCCAGAGATGCTTACCTACTAGACCACATCTCCAGTCATTTTTATTTTTTATTTTGAGACAGAATCTCACTAAGTTGCTTAGGAACTCACAAAGTTGCTGAGGATGGCTTTGAACTTTACAGCCTCCTGCATCAGCCTCCCGAGTCGCTGGGATTACAGGCATGCACCACCACACCTGGCTTATCAGTAAATTCTTAAATTCTTTATTCTTTGAAAATATATTCCATATATTTCATGTGCAAATGTTATAGGACCATCACAGAAAACCATACATACTAAACATGGCTGTGAGAAGAACATAATGAAAATTCTATTTATGTAGATAGCTTGCTAAACAATTTTAAAATTACCTATCAAAACAACAGTGAGACTGTAAACAAGAAATATTCTAAATTCTTTCATAAAAATTTTAAACATACTTTAAAAGTTTTTGGAAAAGAAATACAAGAATCTTCCTCAAAAAAGTTGGTGATGGAGGGAGGTCTATACCAGACTAGTGAATTGTTTAACCTATTGTTCATTATTAAGCCAAGAGTCAATTAAAATTAATTTCAAAAAGTTCATACTTGGGAAGCTGAAGACAGTTGACAGAATCAGGCTTTTCCAAATCCCCATTGTTTTTCATTCCAAAAACACTGCAATTTTTAGCAAAATATTGCCAGTCCTCCCAATCTAAACCATCTTCCTTCTTTCTTTGAATCCTTATTGCTGTTGGTTGTGGACTAAAGAATTGAATGATAATGTAAAATACCTGCAAATGAATAAATTAATTATCACTAAAGTAAAAGTCTGACACACGAGCATAAATCAAACCATGGAATTGCTAGATTCAAATATAATGACTTACTTCCTCATAATTATAATTATTAAATATTTATTGAACATCCAGAAACTTCATAGACCTATAGTAAAAGCAACACATTCCGTAATTGTATATTAGTCCCTCTTCTCATAGATTTTGTAAATCATGGTACAAATTAATATTAATTTTGCTAAAAAGACATGAAAAAAAGAACATTACTTCCATGAAATAAATGTCATATAGGCTCTTCTTTTGTAGATTTTAGAATAAGCACCTCAGTTCCTACTAATTTGCACTGCTTAATAAAAAAGAGTATTTCAACATTTCCTAAATATCATTTGCTAACAAATATTGAAGAAATTAAGCCTTGAATATCATCTTTTAGATACTTTGATATCATACATTATAAGATGCCACCTAAGTTTATGTTCAATTTCATTGTATCTCTAAATAAATATGTCCAAAGGGTAACTCCAAATACCCATGAATGTGACCTTATTTGGAAATAGGGCCTTTGCAGATAAAGTTAAGGAGAATCTCTCAAGATGAGTGGATGTAGAATGGATCTTTCCAGAAGAAGGAGGAGGAAAATTTACTCACACTAACAAGGAGGGAGGGCCTATGAAAATGGAAGCAGAGCTTAGAGTGACACTTCAGTGACCCCAGGAGTCACCAGAAACTGGAAGAGGCTAGGAAGGATCCTCCCAGAGTCTTTGAAGGGAATATAGCCCTCTCAGCACCTTGATTTTGTATTTCTGGTCTTCAGAACTATGATAGAATAGATTTCAATTTCTTTAAGACATGTTGTGTGTGGGGATTCATTGCAGAGGCCACAGGAAAGTAATGTATATCCCGTGGTTTCTACTTACCTGATATTGTCCATTTTCCAAATCCATTGAGATAGTCACTCCTTGATTAAGCTGGGTAATGTTTGTAAACACATGTGAAATCCACGAAGTACTGAGGTCATTATCATTGATGAATGAGAGAGGATGTGCTTCGGGATTCAGCCGTAACACTCTATCATTGGTTGTGTCTTCTGCATCATTAGGGATGCAGTACCGCTGGACCAAAGGGTGGATGCGAGGGTGACTGCCAGGGCAGCGGCAATGTGACTGGACATGCAATTGAAACAAATCTCCAGAGAAAGCTTCCAGAATCTCTCTGTGGGATTCATAAGGAAGACTTAAGAACAAATAACACTAATAGAAGGTCTAAGAATTATTATAAGTGAATACCATCCTTTTCATGTTTTAATGAGTAACCATTTAGCTCTAATAATTTTCTAAATGGAACATAACATAAAACCTGTCCTTGACTAAATAAACATCCTCATTCTCATAAAAGGTATATCCAAAACAGTAAATTTTTAAGTATTATGTCTTCACATCTAGAAGCATGCAGTCCTTGCATGGTTTTTCACGACATGTATTTAAACGTTATAATATGAGGAGCTGAAGAATGTGGTTCAGTGGCATAGTGCATGCCTAGTGAGGCTGTGGGTTCAATTCCCAGCACTACAAAAATAAATTAATAAATATTATACTAATTCATTGTACCTATTTGTGATAATGTAGAAAAGAATCCTTTACTTAGGTTGTTCAACTAACTTACCACTGAAAGCAAACAGTAGAAATAATGAGACTTAAATAAGAGTTTCTTGTTCAACTGTGGAAAATAAGAAGAAAACAAGTATCATTTTCTGCTTCTGTTTTAGTGAATGGACTGAGGCCAAGGCCATTTGTCAATGATTTCCTGTGACTCATTTGTGCAGATTCTGGCACCCTGAAATGTTTCAATGGCTTCAGATCACATGGCAGCTGCCAACAGTCAACTATGAATGCCAATTCCAAGCAGATATATTTAATTTTTCCATTAAGGGAAATATACTTGTTCTAGATCAGCATTAGTCATTCTATTTATGGGCATTCTTCCATACAACACCTTTCCAGGCACTTCAGGTAGGCCAATGCCAGGAACCAATGACCAGCTAGGGAAACCAGACTGTTTTCCTCGGATCACAGTGAGGTAGTGAAGGAGCCAGGCAGATTTTCCATTCACTAAACCATGTGAAGTGACACCTTTTCCTTTAAATCACATTGATATTTTTCAGTTGACAACAGGCTTTGAATGGGACCCACAGTCACTATCCAGTATGAAATCTTTGCCCTCCAGGAAAAACTTCCCAAAGAACTACTGCAACATGACACTTCAGTATTTTAAGCAACGGTGATATGAATGATAGCAAGGCTGGTGGCAGTCCGTCTCCTCAAAAGTGTGTTCAGGTGTTACAGTCTCCTTTATTCAGGCATCTCCTGATCATATAATTAACACAAAAGGGAGGTTTAAATTGTTAATGGATCTGCCACAGACCATAGTATCACCTCAAGAGCAATGCTTCTCAAATCCATTAGAACTGTTCTTGAAAAATTCACCACATGAATCTACATATGCCTTAAAGAAGCATGAACAAACATTTCTCTTAGAGATCCTCAATAAAAGAAAATTAGATAAATTCATCTATATAATGATATACTATTATAACATCAGATCATAAATCGAGAAAGAAACGTCAGTGGCCATCTTCAGCAAAATTTCATTGGGATTTTTCTAAGCAGAATTGAAATCAGTTGTTTTTAAGGAGAACTGAGAAAGAACTGCACTGACTGTGAAGATGAGGAAATACTTCATAAATGCTAGCCCATGTCTATAATATTATTTATTCACTGGAAATAGACAAAAATATAACAATACTTCAAATATTCATTTTTTAATCTCCAAGTCTAATAGCCCAGTATACTAAGACTTTCCCATGAACCAAAATAACTCATCATTTTCTTTGTGCTACTTTCTCCAGTAGTTATTTATTCAACAAAGCAACTTTAAAAGGCACATGTAGCAGTTTTGTGAGGTATTAGAAAATCTCACATATAGAATAATTAAACAAATGTAGCCCTAATTCTATAAAATATTCACAAATCACATTTTCTGAGAGAAAATCCATTGTAAAGAATTTATCCAATTATATTATGAGGAGTTACCAAGAGAATAGCACTGGTGAGGAACAACCACACACTTGGCCAAAGCAAACACTGTAAAACATTAACTAGGTGATTTGACAAATGCCATAAAGTTGAAAACACTATAGTGTCAAGAGCTATCTATGAACTGTGCATGGACCAAACTGGCTTCATGGCCATTGAATAGGAAAATCTGGTATCTGGGAATTTCCAGTGGCACTCCTGCTAGTAAGACTGCCCAGAGACATTTGAGTTCCTATTCAGCTCTGCCAGGTTCCACACAGCACCAGAGATGGGGTGATCTGCTGTAGCCACCTAGCCACAAAGACTCCCAGAGATGAGTGTGGCTTCCCAAGATGCTAATCAACCTGTTGACTGCAAGACACCATGAAGCAAGACTCCATCCACTGAAACCTTATCCCTGACTTTGATGCTCTCATACCAAAAAAACTTGTAGACCAATGGTACAGAACAGAGGACACACAGATAAACCCATATAAATACAGTTATCTTTTATTAGACAAAGGCACAAAAAAAAACATATATGGGAGAAAAGGTAGCCTTTACAACAAATGGTGCTGAGAAAACTGGAAATCCATATGCAACAAAATGAAATTAAGCCCCTACCTCTCAGCATGCACAAAAGTCAACTCAAAGTGGATCAAGGACCTAGGAATTAAACCAGAGACTCTGCATCGAATAGAAGAAAAAGTAGGCCCTAATCTTCATCATGTGGGATTAGGCCCCAACTTCCTTTATAAGACTCCTATAGCACAAGAATTAAAATCAAGAATCAATAAATGGAATGGATTCCAACTAAAAAGCTTCTTCTTAGGGAAAAAAAAAAAAAAAACAATCAGTGAGGTGAATAGAGAGCTTACAGAATGTAAGCAAATTTTTACCACAAACACATCAGATAGAGCACTAATATCTAGGATATATAAAGAATTCAAAAATCTTAACACCAAAAAAATGATAATCTAATCAATAAATGGACCAAAGAACTGAACAGACACTTCCCAGGAGATGATACATAATCAATCAACAAATATATGAAAAAATGTTCAACATCTCTAGCAATTAGAGAAAATGCAAATCAGAACTACTCTAAGATTTCATCTCACTCCAGTCACAATGACAGCTATTAAGAATACAAACAACAATAAGTGTTAGTGAGGATGCTGGTGAGGCTGTGAATTGGTGCAACCAATATGGAAAGCAGTATGGAGATTCCTTGGAAACCGGGGAAATAAACCACCATTTGACCCAGCTATCCCTCTCCTAGGTCTATATCCAAAGGAATTACAAACAACATAATACAGGGACACAGCCACATCATGTTTATAGCACCACAATTCACAATAGCTAAATTGTGGAACCAACCTAGATTCCCTTCAATAGATGAATGGATAAAGAAACTTAGTATATATACACAAAGTAGTATTACTCAGCATTAAAAGAGAATAAAATCATGGCATTTGAAGGTAAATGGATGGAGTTGGAGAATATAATGCTAAGTGAAATAAGCCAATCCTATAAAACCAAAGGCCAAATGTTCTCTGATATAAGGGTGGTGATTCATAATGGGGATGGGGGAAGCACGGAAGGAACAGACGAACTTTAGATAGGGCAAAGGGGAGGGAGGAGGGGGGAGGAACATGAGGACAGGAAAGATGGTGGAATGAGATGGACATCATTACCCTAAGTATATGTATGAAGTCACGAATGATGTGACTCTGCTTTTTGTACAAGAGAAATGAAAAATTGCACTCTATATGTATAATATGAGTTGAATCTTATTCTGCTGTCATATGTAACAAATTAGAATAAATAAAATAAAATTTAAAAAAAATCAAAGCCAGTTTTTAGATGTTCTGTTCCAGATCCTACCAGGACTGGAAGAATCTATCAGGTGCTGTGCTTTTAAAACCTATCCTTTGATTTTCTCTTACTTCAGACTATATTTTTCTCAGGTGTTTTATTCCCTCCTGAGCAGGAAAATTACCCTGATGAGGTGCTAACTGCCTCGCAATACTGTAGTCTTCATAGTACTCTTATTTAAGTGAATTCAGCATTTATCTTATACTCATGGGTTTACAATACCACATCTTCTTACCTGTTTGTAAGTGCCACTTGGTATAATCGAAAATCTTGCATTCTTCCAACAAATTGCTCTAATCCTGTCAAAAAATATATATATATATATTATATATACATAAAATATATATGCACACACATAAAATGAGAAGACTTAGCTTACTAAAAAAATGCATAAAATGTCAAGTAATATTCTTTAAAGCTATAAAATTTTAAAACATGTTCATATCATGAGACCGTTTCAAATTCTTAGAGATCAATATATCTATTTTCTAATTTTACACGAATAATAGTCATATTTGTCTCCATAGACATTGTAACACTAAAGTCAAAGTGAAAACTTTGACTAGTTCATTTACTGATATAACCTATGGCTTTTCTTCCCACATCAAATTTCTGTGAAGTTTATAAACCTATAAATCTATCATCTCATCAGCCCTAAATTTTATTGTCATCTGCTTCCAATCTCAATATCCTACCTGCCCTGTTGGTAGCAAGACCAACAGCATGTACTTTCCACCCATTCTAGCTCCAAATTCCAGGATGTCTGTTTGGATGCTTTTTCATCTTAGATTAATTCCTCATTTAGAAAATCTCCAAAAAATGAGGATAAATTGAAGAGCTCTTGCTTATGGGTTTCTCTTTGTTATACATCTCAGTAGCATTCTAGTTTAATCTCATAATTTCATCACCCTCTCAGAATTCTTCTGAGATAAACAGGTTCAAAGACAAATCTACATTGAATTAGATGATCTTCTAAGGCACAGGTACAAATCAACCTTAATCCATCTAATATTGTTTGGTTAAGTTGTTTGGTAAATATTTATTTAGGAAAAAGAGGGAAAAATGTAAGAAAAGCACCATCTTTTAAATTTTTGTTATGTTTTTAATAAAGGAAAAATGGGTGAAAGGTAAAATTCTAGATAGTTTGAATCATGAGGACACAAAATGGAATGGGACTTAAAGCACAATGCCATTGGAATGTTTGGTTCATCTTTGCTGCTGTCCCTTGGTGCTGACTTACAGGAAACCACACAGAGTTAGCATCCACCTGATGAATAAAGATGAGGAGCAGAATTAGCAGAGTTGTCTCAGGTGTTGATCTCAGAAGCAGGACAGGACTAATGAGCAATGAAGGGGGCAATTTAGGGACAAAAGGTGTGTAGGTGTGTGTGTGTGTGTGTATGGGCATATACATTTATGTGATTTATATTCTCATATTTATTCACATTTAAATGATGGATTGAAAATTAAAATGACATATTGAAAAAAATAGAATATTTGATATATAAATATTTCTTCATGAGCATAAACATTTTCAATTAATGTATTTAAAAAAAAAACATTTGTAGGCTCTCCCTCTCTGCCCCTTGGTCTCAGTCTTTTTGACCCTACAAGCTGAGGACCAGAGGAAGGTGGTATTCTAAGTTGCCTCCTCATCCAACTTTCCTCTGGCTAGAGTTTTTCTCCCTGTTCATCCAAAATCAGACAACTAAAACAACTGCAAGAAATTGTTCCTTCAAGTGACATTATGAGGACAAAACAAAACATCCAATAAAACTTTTTAGAAATCATTAGATGATTTCCAACACAGTTTACTTTAAAAATTTTAAGTAACTATAAGAAATAAGAAAAGCATAACTCTTCCCTTAAGGATTAGTAATCAGGCAACTCACTTTGTAATACGTTGACCTGAATCCAGGATCTAAAAATTTTTTAAAAGGAGGAAAAAAATGGGAAGAATGCATGTGAACCCAGCTAAGTCACATGTGCTCGTGTGAGATGTTGTTTGGGAGGGGTAGGACAGACAGATTGAGGAAATCGCTTCTCACTGTGTGAATTTTCCTTGTAACAGGGAATGTGCCAAGAAGCTGGATTTGCCAATTTATTCTTCCCTTCACCTATCCCCACCCACATGCCATCCTCCTCCTTGCATTCTTCACACTCTATATTGCAGATCTATGGACCAAATTGTTCAGGCCCCACATCGCCAAGCTTTTTATTCCTTAGGTTTTACACTTGAATTTGCCTCTGTTTTAAATCTTCCTCCCCCACCCCCGTCCTTCGTGTCTCAGTTTTGAGATATACCCTGTGGAAAAGTTTGGGAGGCTCACAAGGGTCCTTTGAGCTCCTGTAGAACTGTGCTGTGCACTCCCCATTCTGTTTTACAAATACCCATTTAGTCCTCTATCTTGCTTATGAAACATGAAAGGATATTAAATAAAATTCCCTGGCAAGACACACAGTAGTAATTGGTCTTATTCACTGGTCCAGTCCTAGCTCATAGACAAATTCCTGGCATGCACTAAACTGATCAATAAATATTTAATAATGATGGAAAAAGGAAGAAGGAACCAAAGAGAAAAGGACAGCGATGAAGAGCTATACTGGCTGCTACAGAAAACAAGTGGGGTGGCAGATCTGCAAAAACTACAGGGCCCCTTGAGAAGTATAACAAGGGTCACATGAAATTAGAGATTATGACTTCACATTTTCAAGTTAATTGATTCCCCCAAATATGTTGGCAATCCAAGAGAAACATCAAGTGATTAGAGGTATCTGGGACCGGTAATTTTCAGGATGCATTAAAACAGGGGCCCAAAAGGGTAACATTTCAGTAGTAGAGGAGATGCACCACTGTGCTGATGTGTATAGGGACAGGAGATGGATGACAGGTAATAAACCCGCAGAAAGAGAGGAGTCACCATCTCAGTGCAGTCAAAGAACAGTGGTGGGAGTGAGGAAGTACTTGTTTGAAACAATTGCACTAGTCACCTTACTGTAGGTTAGGGACACACAAAGGCTGAGCAGCACCAGTGCTCCCATTTGGAAGCACTGACAGATGGAACAACAGGAAGGTTCCCACCACACTCAAAGCATGCTTGTCCACCAAGAAATTCATTGTTCTGCGCTGAATTGTATCCCCCCTCCCAAAAAAAAAAAAAAAAGCTACGTTGGAGTCCTCATCCCCTAATATTTGTAAATATGTTTTTTTATTTGGAAACAGGGTCCAAATAAATATAATCAAGTGATGACAAGCTCATTAAGGAAGGCCCAAATTCAATATGACTTTGTTCTTTATGTATGAGAGGAAAATGCCATGCAAAGACAGTCATCCACAGGGAGAAGGGAGTGGGATCAGAGGAGAGACTGATGTGGTGCAGCTACAAGCAGAGGAACACCGAAAAGCTAGCGGGGGCGGGGGGGGGGGGTATGATTCCATTCACGGTTTTCAAACAGAGCATAAACCTGCAGATACCTCGATGTTAGACTTCTAGCCTCCAGAACCATGAGAAAACAAATATCCATTGTTTTTAGATACCCACTCTGTGGTACTTTGTCATTTCAGCCACAGAAAAAATGATATAGTGATCATTTTCTATTTTTGTCCTTATGAAGAATTAAGAAGAAAACAAATTTTTGTAACATGTATTTCATGTCATTCAACTTATTTTATCAGTATAAAATATCATCTTAAAATGGTTTACATAGACCCTCTAGATATTTTTTTTTTTCTTAAGGAATCAGATTACAGCAGATGGGGAGAAATATTTCATGATTTTGGAAGGCCTACCACCACGGAAGGAGAGGAAGAATGATGAACACTGATTTTTGTCAAAACCTAGACCATGGCTTTAAATGTCATGGTAACTTCATTCTTTTATGTATTTATTCATTTACAAATATTTATTGGGAGCCTATTATGTGCCAGACACTTTCATGGCAGCCAAAGATACATCTGTTAACAAAAGAACACCCTCACTTTAATGGACTTACATTCAAGCAGAGAGGTAAACATAGTAAATGAGTGATAGAACATTACAAAAATAGAAATATAGAGCAGGGTAGTAAACATGGTTGAATTTTATTAGAGATGTTTTTTCCATAGACAGTCCTCCATGATAAAGAAGGAGAAGAAGTGAATCATGCAGACAGGGGCAAAGTGTCCCAGGCAGCCACCAGTGAGTGAATGCACAAGCCTCTAAAGCAGTGTACTTGGCTCATTAGAGGAGCTACAAGGAGCCAACTTCCTGAAGCAGAATAAAGGAGAGAAAGGCCACTGGAAGATGAGGTTAGACAAATAACTGGCTGGTGGGGACGGAACTGCAAATTGTTAAAAGCCTTATAGCCCATTGCAAGGACTTTGGTTTTTATCCTGAGTAAAATGAGAAGCCACTGGAGGGCTGTGGGTAGAATAATGACATGATCTCAGGTTTATTGAAAAGTGTTGAGATTAGAATATGGGGTAGAAGCACAGAGGCCAGCAAGGAGGCTGTTGTAGTCATCCAGGTGAAAAAAGATGAAAGTCAGACCAGGGTGTTAGGAGTGGAGTTGTTCCACTCAATGCTGAAAAATTGGAATGCACTTCATATATTTTAATAATAGTTAAAGGGAAACTCTGCTGCAGAGGGATAATGAAATCTATTTTATCATCTATAAAATAAAAGGGCTGGGTTTTATAACCTTTAAAAATCATTTTAGTTTTAAATTTTGGAGTCTGTGATGGGACAATCATCACCACTGCTACAGAATTCATATTTGAAGGAAATTTTTTAAAAGAGAAAGCTTTCCAAAGACCTAGAATTAACATGAATCATTCAGACCAGGCATGAAAATTATGATTTACAAAGAGAATGCTATAAAATATTTCAAGGACACTGTCATAGGGATGGATTTTACTCATGCCTTTGTTAGTTGCCAAATTTTTAACAACAGATTTTCATTGAAATAAACATTCCATAAAGAGATTCCTCTTTGAAAAAAAAAAAATTTCTCATGGCAAAGATAGGTCCACATTATATAAATCGATGAGGGAAACAGACATGACTCATACAAGAAAGACCTCATAGTTGTCTAGTCAGAAAGTAGATAGGTAATGACAGAAAAGAAGCAGGACTGCATTACAACTGGGAGGCACTGCCAAGATGGTTAAATGGGAAAACTGTAGAAAAATAATCTAATATATAAGTCGTGAAGAAACAGGTTTGCAATAAGGCTAAATAAAACATATCAGAGCAGTCAGAAAAAAAATGGAGTTACTTCAATTTTCAGATAGCATGATTATCTACTAAGAAAACTCCAG